AGTATATGTTGTTTAGCTGTACTTGATGTGGTGTGCTGACCTTTTGCTCGGCGCAGTCACTTGCGTCTTCCATATAGGCGTTTCTGGATGATTCAGCACGGGCACGTCCAAGCACACCTCAACTAGGTGCAATCTGGCGACACTGGGACTGCCGTGCACCCACGGCTGAGTACTTGTAGCAGGCTATCGCTGCTACGGAAGATGGATGCAGGGCGCGCTGAGCCCAGACGGGACGTGGAGGGAGGCGGATCCAGGGACACATGATAAAACGAGCGAAGCAATAATAATGGGAGGGCATGAGGGGGGGAGTACTTACGATAAGGAAGGCTGGTAAAGAGAGCTGTCCTGCGCCTTGCTGCCGACTCAGTCGTAGGTGCTGCCCTAGGTCGAGCCGCTGCTGGTGTCGCCCGCGTCCTCCGCATCGTCCATGATCCTAGCGTGGTCATCGCCCCGCTCCTGGTCAAGCTTGAGAATGTCCTCTGCTCTCTCTCTGATGTTGCCCACCTGGGTGCGGAGAGAGCGGATCCGTGCCTTCAGCATGCGGATGTACATTTTCGCCAACCTCAACTGCTTCCACACTTTCTGGAAGCGCCCTCTCATCGGCGGTTCTAGATTACGCTTCCACAGAGGCGTCTGCGGCATGATGAGTGAGATCGGACCTGCTTCAATGTAACACGGGGTGATTGATTCTGCCAAAATCAACGCTTGCTTGGCAGCTGGGGAGCCTCAGACCTACGGAAAAGACGACTGCAAAAACTCTAGCGCTGACTCCAACATAGCTTGTTGTTCGGTTGTATTCCCGAGCTCCAGCGGTGACTCCAAATACAAAGTCAAACATTCGATGGAGATGACCAGTTCTGTAAGAACTCCATGTGTGCGTAGATACGCACTGCAGCACGTAAGAACTCCAGCGGTGACCCCACCGCCACATCGCGGGACTCCAGGGTAACTCCAGCGGTAACTCCAGCGGTGACTCCAGGGGCTGGGCGGCCCGCGCACCCACTCGCCCACCATAGGGGAGGTTGCAAAGTCCCTGTGCGTGGGACGGGGTGGGCGCGGAGAAGCACCATACGCCCTCCAACCTCATAGGGTTCAGGCACCAGAAGCCTGCCTGAAGTCAGAGGGTCGGCACCATCCCGGAAACTTTGTGCCATACGCTAGGTAATTTACTGTATGCGTTCATCGACTTCAAGGTCTCATCATCCTCCTGCGCATCCTCCTCTTCGGTCTTCGAGTCGGACAAGTGGCGACAATCATGCTCCCAGAAGGCTCTCTAGGAACACGATGGGGTGGGCCGTGTGGGGGGCCCTCGTTTTCAGGGTATCCAAATGAGGCTGCCCAGCCCGAAGGACGGGCCAGTGGAAACGTTTGCAAACATTGAGATGGCGGTGAGGCTCGGCATGGAGACGGGGGAGGCGCAAAGTTTCGACTGAAGAACGGAAGGGGCTGAAAAAGCCACAGCAAGGCGCTGCGCTGAATTGGGGTGTTCGGTGAGACGGCGCGGACTGTCCTCCTCATGTTCGGCCTCCTTGCCGTACTGGCGGTGACAATCATGTTCCCGGACAGCTCCCCGGGAACATGGCTTGTGGGGTCGTATTGCAGTCCTCGTGGAAGTTGCCAGGGTACCTCAAAGGAGGCTGCCAAGCCCGAAGGACAGCCAGAGTGAGCCATTCGGAGATGTTGTCATGGTGGTGCGGCTGCGAAGTGAGATGGGGAAGGCGTGAGGTAACGAATCAAGAGCGGTAGGAGCTGGGTAGGACAGGCGAGGACAGAAGGGGTGTCGAAAGAGGCTTCGCGGGTGCTTCTTGGCCTCTTGGGGCCGGTTTGGGAGCCTTCTGGGGCGCCGTGGGGGCCTCTTGTGGTCCTCTTGGGACCCCGTGGCAACATCAGGGAGCCTTTTCTCTTGGGGGGCTCCCGGGAGCCGCTTGGGGCGAAAGGATCGGATTTTTGAGTCATGCGCCCCCTCCAGAAGGCCATCTTCGGGCCGTCTTGAGGGCCTCTGAGGCCGCCTCGGGCGCCCCTGGGGCCGTCAAGAAGCTATCGAAGGCCGTTCCGGGTCCTCTTGGGCGCCCCTGGGCCCGTCCTGAGGCGGCGTTGGAGGCCTCTTGGGCCATCGCGAATTGTCGGAAGCTGGAAGAGTGGAGGGGCCCCAAAAAGGTGACAAACCCTAGCGAAACCAATGCTTCGTGCTTCTCGGGGCACTCGTCTGGGGCCTCGGGCGCCCTCTAGAGCCTACCCGGGGCCGTCCTGGCCTTCTTGGGCCTCCGGGGAGCTTCGTGAGGCGGAAAACTCGAAATCCCACCAGCCCTCTGGGCGTAGCTGGTCTAACGATGTTTTTCTTTCCTCTTCCATAAAACCCACCTTCCCCTTCGCGGAGGGGTTCACCCCTCCCCCTAACCCCCTCCCCTGGACCTGGACGGGGCGCCCCGCGAGGTGGCAGAGGGTCCTTTTTCGCTCAAGATGGTTCCAAGAGGGCCTCCGATGCACCAAGATGGCCTCCAAGATGATTCAAAATAGGGCAACGTGGCTCAGGATAGCTAACAGCATGCCTCCGATAGGCCCCAAGAGGGCCACAAAACGGTTCCAAGTGCTCTCGGAGACCCCTCAGGACCCCCCAAAAGCTCCAAATCCTTCAAAAACCTACGGACAATCAATGATTTGTGCCTTCTCGCCGTTTCGCTTCCGACGCGCTTCTGAGGCCTCAAGTTGGCCGCAAGATTACCCAAGGCCCCAAGAGGGGCCCAAGAGGCCCCCAAGACGGCCTCAAGAGCGCCCACGAACGCTCCAAGAGGGCCCCAAGAGCGCCCCAAGAGACGGTTTTGAGGGCCCCAAGAGGGGGGGGGGGGGGACCAACGTAAAGGAACCCCGATAGTTTGATCGATGCCCTCCAAGATGGGCCCAAGAGGCTCTCCAGGACTCCCAGGAAGGCCCCACGAGAGCCCAAGAAGGTCCAAGGAGCGCCCCGAGGGGCGCCAAGACGCCCCCCAAAGAGCCCGATATGGCCCCAGGAGGCGGCGGTCCGGGGCTCCCAGGAAAGCCCCAAAAAGAGCCCCAAGAGGGCTCCGCGAGGGTCCCAAGGGGGCCCCAAGAGGACCCCGAGAGACCCCCGAGCGGCCTCAGAGAGCCCAAGATGACCTTCACGATGGCTCAGATAGCCCAAGCTGGCTCAAGATGGCCCCCAAGATGCTCCAAACGGCCCCAAGATCGTTCCAAGAGCGCCCGAGACGGCTCCAAGAGAGCCCCAAGAAGCGGTTTGCGGGTTCCTGAGGGGGGAGCTGAGCTGGGGACCCCCCCATCCTGTAATCGATGGCCTCCAAGATGATCCCAAGAAGCCTTCCAGGGTTACCATGAGGGGTGCCAGAGGGCCCCCCAAACTCCCAGAGAGCACCAGCAGCAGCAGCAGCAGCAGCAGCAGCCGCAATAATACCTCTAGACGGTTCCATGAGTCCTCGCCCGCGTCGTCCTCATCCTAGTCTTATGGAATGGAATGCCTGCTAGACTCTTGAAGAACTTGAAACGCCCAAAAGGCTTCAAAAAGGCTCAAAGAGCATTCTGGCGTGTAAGCTTAGAAAAGGTATAAAAAGGCTATAAAAAGATGGGCTAATGTTGCGGACACCATGCGCAACAATGAAAGTATCCTTTGCCGCCACGTGATCAAGGCTCCTGGCAGCGGCGGTCACCGTCGCCGTAGCCGCGGCGGTCATCGTGGTCGTCGCCGTCCTCCTCGCTGCCACCGTCGTCATCGTCGCTGCCGTCATCTCGTCGTCATCGACGAGACGATGGAAGCGACGACGACGACGAAGGCGACGACAACGACGGCGACGGCAACGACAACCACGACGACCACCGCGGCTAGGGCGACGGCGGCGAGGACAACCTCGGCCACGAGGCTTGACCCATTGGCGGACAAGGCTGTTTGATGTTGCGCGCGGTGTCCGCAACTGCCGCCCATCTGTATCATATCATATGTGCTGCCCGCTTGGGCCGTACACGCCAGAGTCCCCTGTGAGCATGCGAGGTGACTTTTGATCATTTCCAGTTAGCTGATCGTCGCCGTCTAGATAGTGACGCCCAGGGTAGGATGGGGCAGAGTAGAACGCTGTAGACGAAGGGAGGGCAACGTAGGGTAGAGTAGAGAGGGGCGATGGAGTTACAAGTACAAGAAGGAAACACACATGATGCAAGGGCAGGGCAAGGCATAGTAGGGCGCATCGAAGTAAAGCAGGGTCGATTAAATCAGAGTAGCAGTAGGGCAAGGAAGGGTAGGATAGGTCAGGTAGACTGGAGTTGAGTAAACTAGAACAGCAGCTAGAGCGCATAGACACCATGGTGGGCCAAGGCGGGGCAGGGCAGGGTAGAGCACGGAAACGCCGCGGACACAGGGCCAACATATAATACACCAGCGCACGTGCGATCCAAGAGGGGGCCAAGCCCAGGAGACCGAAGGGGCAATCCAGACGGGGCTAAACGCGAAGCGTCCTGGAGTAAAGCGCATCGTCGGTGCCGAAGGCGAAAGCCTCTGGAATAAAGAACCCAAGACGGCCCCAAGACGGCCCTAAGACCCAAGACGGCCCCAAGACGGCCCTTAAGACGCACCCATGTCTTGGAAAGCAGCCTGGCGGTGCTGAACGCGAAGCGTTAAGGGATATTGGGCACGCTTCGGAGCTGAACGCGAAAGCGTCTCGATATGCGAGGCATCCCCTCTCTGTTTTTAAAAGCTCTAAGGGTCAAGCAGATACCGAAACAAGTCTCTTCCACTCCAACAGCAAAAGAAACTGCACGTAACTGCACGCAGGACTTGTCTGCGCACTTTGGTGGATTCGGCCACCTCTCATGATTACACTGTCAGTTGCCACAGACGATCGAGTGTCTGCATTTTCCCCAGCAAGTGCGGCAAAACTATGAGCTGACACCGGTCTGAAAATGATAATCAATCCGAGCTTGCGTTTGTTGTTTTCCACTACATCCGTTCACGGCCTGAAATTGAGAGTCAACCCTGCCTTGAACTTGAACGCCGCTGCGCTGTGCAAGAGGGTCGGCTCAACCTTGTAGAACCTGAGCTTCCCCTGGGCTTTCTGGAGAGAGCTACGCAAGCTCACCTTGTTCGAAACCAGCTTATCGTCAGTGAGGCTTCTCGTGATATCGGCCATGGCTGCGATGGCAGCGCACTGCTTTACGTTGAGCTGCGCATTCTCCACGGGTTTGCATTCGGGGTCCGCTGGTACCTGGTACTCCGAGCGCTTGGTCAAGTAGATGCTCACAGCCTTTCCAACACGAGCGACGACTGTGACTACGACGACGGCGACGACGATGACGACGACGACGACGAAACGAACCGAGATTTTTGCCTCGACGGGCAGGGCAGAAATCCCCTCACAAGACGACGACGACGACGCTGACGACGACGACGGCGACGACGAAGACGACGACGAGTCCGAAACCTTGTTCAGCTCGTCGCAAAGGTGGTGCACTTCGGCGGCCGCCAGCTCCTTGAAGGTGTCTGCGATCTTGACGATGTCCGCCCAGCTGCTGGTGTCACTGACGTGCAGCTTGTAAGTGGAGTACGCGGGGCTCTGGTCCAGGGTCGACTGCAGCTTCTCCGAAGCCTCCGTCACCGCGTCCTTCCTGGCAGCCATCTTCAAACCGACCGCCTGCGTGTAATATGTCTCGGACAGGGAAACAAGCTCATTGTATGTATCTCTGAAGGTAAGGCCAACTTCGTCGAGGCTAGCGGTGATGTTCGAGATGGCGTTGGCGCAGGTGGTCAGATCCGTCTTGGCCTTCACGAAGGCCCTCCACAGCTTCTCGTTCGGATCCGCAGTGAGCACCATCTGCATGTCGACGTCCCGCTCCTTCAGATCACCTATAAACTTCGAGAGCGCGCTCCTGAGCGACGAAGTCTTCTTAATCAAGTCCATGTGAAACGCGAGCTTCTCGCGGTCGGATTGGAAGCTGGAAATCCTGTTCAGCACGTCGGTGTACACGTCGAACTTGTCGCCCAAGGTGGTCTGGATAGCATCCGTCTTCATCAAGAAATCCCAAAGCTGAGATGCAGCGGCCTGAAGATCATCGGTAGCTGAATCCGCACTCAGACTGAGGCGCTTCACGTCGGCGTGCAAGACTGCAATGTCGATCATCCCCTCGCGGAACTTGTTCAAGCTGCCGATGATTGAAGTGGTCGTGGTTCTGATCTGCACTCCTGATGGCGCATTCATTACCCTACCTTTAAACGACCGAGATGGCTATTATCGACTGGCACACCTGATAGACCTTCTCGACGACCTCCGAGTAAGACTCGAGCAACGCATGGTAACGAGTCGGGTCATTGGCAGTGTCGCCAGGGAAATCCTTCTCGAGAACAGCAGTGGCTGCCTTGTGAATGACCTGGACCAGCGAGGTCTCGAGCATCTGGATTGGCTCAGCCCCCAACCTGGCGATGTAGTTGGGGAGACGATCGATCAGTGACTTGGCCCGCACTGGGAAGGCATTCACATCCATCGTCTTCGAAAGAGCCTCGACTTCGGACAAGTCCTGGGCGACTAGAGGCGCCAGCTCCAGGTAGACCTTCTCCCTGGAGATCACGTTCTTCAGGAGCGTCTTCCAGTGGGGCGACTGCCCCAGAGCAGCCCCGACCTGCGCCCAAGCGTCTGTGGCCCCTGCTTTGCCGCCAGCAGCCTGCAAGGTGCCGATGTCGGCGTAGGTGTCTTTCTGCGCGGACTTCCCGATGGTTTTCGAGGCTGCCGTCTGGATCGCCTCGCATATCTGCTTGACCTCGACAATGGCCTGAGCGCACTCCTCGGAGATGTCGCATTCCTCGGGGAGCTGGAAGAATACCAAGGCCGTCTCGATGAAGTCTAGGACCTGTCGCTCCATAGGGGCGTCGCCCAGAATGAGCGGGATGAGGTAGGAGATCAACACCTCCTCGACGAACACGGCTGCCTTGGTGCTGCTGGGAAGTCTCGCCTCTGCAAGGCAGGGGTCACGGAACATGAATACTCTGGGAACAGCTCCAGCGCCAGCATTGGACCACGTGCGGTAACGTTGAAATGTTTTCAGCAATAGGGATCGGGAGCGTTGCGATGATTCCTGGCCCGTCCAGGACGTTCGATCTTCACTCGGTTTCCCATTGAGGTTTGAGCGAACAGCTCGCAGGCACCACCGCCACCCTCCGTGAGCTCCGCCATGTGTGTTCAAGGTACTGGATGGAGCGCTCCATCGCGAACGATCTCCTTAGCAGCCCCCCCAGGGGAGGTGCTTCCTGATGGTCGGCAACTTTCCCTCAGGAACCTTCCCCAAGAGAACCTCTAGCTGATGAGGGCCCTGGCCGAGTTTCGCGCCAGCCATGACGCATGTCAAGTTCAGGTCGTGAATCCAATACTCGGGGGTACCCTTCTGGAACTCGTTCGGGGTATTCTGGATCTCCGAAGGAATGCCATGGCGGCCCCCAGGGGGAAGCACCGTGCCGCTGCTGCCGCGAAGCAAGCTGCCAGGCGTCCTTGGGCCCCTCTCGCTGGTAGGCGAAGGCTGAGGCGTGCGGCGCGTGCCCGAGACCGCCGAGTCGGCGTAGCACGCTGCGGCATCCCTCGGGACCTCGATGTCCTCGTCGTCGTCCTCGACGCCCTCCTCTCGTTCGTGGTCAGGCACGTCGCCGATGGCCAAAGCTGGAGGATTCCCTGACCCTGAGCCGCTTTGCACCCATGCCCCAGAACCCCTGGGGGAGGGCGCCGGCGTGGGAGGTACTTCGCTGACCCGCACGCGGCCAGCAGCGCGGGGCGAGAAGTCCGTCAGCTGAACCCTGCCGCCGCCCAACTCCGCGCTCCTGTCGTTGACGGCGCCCACGGTCGGCAAGCGGATGGTCGAGAAAGCGCGCCTCGGATTGCTCGTATCCCGAGCCTGGGCGGTCATCACCCTGTCGGGCTGCGAGGCGAAGCAACCCATGCCATTCTGCATCAAGTTCTGCATCGCGTAGTCGAACGACTCGCTGTACAAGCGGAGCCTCGGCCAACTGTTGTCGTTCTCCTTGATGGGGTACACCGTGGTCTCGACGCCGTTCCGACCGCGCCACTTCAGGGGCCTGAGGCACAACTGCTTCGGCGTCTTCTTCCATGTCGACACGACCTGGTGGTGGTTGGGCGCAAGGTAGTCCTCGAAGAGGGTGCCGCCTATCTGCGAGCCCTCGCCAGCCTCGATGCCGAAGGGCGCCTCGTCGCTCTCGCCTATGTTCATGGCCCCGTCCACCTCCTGAGCGAAATTCTCGTCCTCCTTCTTGTCGCGGACGACGTCCGCAAACGCGCGCCCTGGAAGGTTGCGGCTGGCGAAGTCCACGCAGTCAGTGCAACCGAAGCACTCGAACGCCTCCTCAGCCTTCCCACCCTCCCCGACCCTGGCCGTCGCAATGAACACGTCATCAACGAAGGTCTTGTGGCGGTCCTCGGGCGATTCGGGAAGCTGCCCTCCTCCTCGTCCTCCTCCTCGTCCTCCTCCTCCGTCTCGTCGCCAATCCCGTTATCCTCGTCGTCGTCATCATTCTCGTCGTCGTCCTCGTCCTCGTCCTCCTCCTCCCCGTCGTTCGTTAACCTCGTCGTCGCCCCCCCCCCATCATCGTGGTTCGTTATCCTCGTCGTCCGTTATCCTCATCGCCGACGCCACCTCCTCAGCGTCGTCCGTTATCTTCGTCGTCGTCGTCGTTAGTCATCTTTATCATCATCGCCAACCCGCCTCCCTCCTCCGCCTCAAACCACTCTGATTCGAATTGCGTTAGGGGGTTCCGCGGGCTCCTGCTCCCCAGCATCGCACAGGCCGCAGATCCGAAGAGCTCGCTTCCTCGCCCTCTCCTCGACTGGACCAGCGGCGCCCTCGCTGCCAGACGCGGCTGCCGCTTGGCGACGCCTGGTTGGCTTCGCGCCGCGGTCGGCCATGACCGAAACGATATCTGGCTGGACGTTGAAGTGTTCCGACTAGCAGAAACTCGACGGGCAGCGCCTGTCCTTAGCTCAGACACCCTCGGACAAAAATGGGCTATGGCATGGCGTCGGAGGCGCCCTCGAAGGTTCTCCGAGTATGCTTGCCTGGACGAGTCCTCGCTCATGTCCAACGCTATAGGACCATACCCCGTCTTGCCACAAGGACCCCTCTTTATCAAGTAGGCTTGCCAATAAGAGTTCTCGCGCATCCCCGAACAGTGCAGGAGCACAGTACCCACAGTACACAAGAACATCAACAGCTGGTATCATCTATTCCATAGATGGCACCAGCTGTTTACGCGTGCTCTGCCGTTGCCGCCCTTGTCGTGGGACATGTCCTCATGAGACGGGTGCGCGTGCTTCATGGCTATCATGCGTGCGCGCTCCCTTGCTGTATGCGCGGTTGTAACACGTATGCTTTGTTGTTTGTATGTGATGTTGCTTTGTAGTACACCTCCACGCTGTATGTGTTGCTCGCGTGTGTTGCTGTACGCGTTGTTGCCTTATACACGTTGCTTGCATGTGTTGATGTCTGCGTGTGCTGCTGCCTCGTGCGCGTTATTGCTAGTATATGCTGTTTAGCTGTACTGGATGTGGTGTGCTGACCTTTTGCTTAGCGCAATCACTTGCGTCTTCCATATAGGCGTTTCTGGATGATTCAGCACGGGCACCTCCAAGCACACCTCAACTAGGTGCAATCTGGCGACACTGGGACTGCCGTGCACCCACGGCTGAGTACTTGTAGCAGGCTATCGCTGCTACGGAAGATTGATGCAGGGCGCGCTGAGCCCAGACGGGACGTGGAGGGAGGCGGATCCAGGGAGACATGATGAAACGAGCGAAGCAATAATAATGGGAGGGCATGAGGGGGGGAGTACTTACGATAAGGAAGGCTGGTAAAGAGAGCTGTCCTGCGCCTTGCTGCCGACTCAGTCGTAGGTGCTGCCCTAGGTCGAGCCGCTGCTGGTGTCGTCCGCGTCCTCCGCATCGTCCATGATCCTAGCGTGGTCATCGCCCCGCTCCTGGTCAAGCTTGAGAATGTCCTCTGCTCTCTCTCTGATGTTGCCCACCTGGGCGCGGAGAGAGCAGATCCGTGCCTTCAGCATGCGGATGTACATCTTCGCCAGCCTCAACTGCTTCCACACTTTCTGGAAGCGCCCTCATCGGCGGTTCTAGATTACGCTTCCGCAGAGGCGTCTGCGGCATGATGAGTGAGATCGGACCTGCTTCAATGTAACACGGGGTGATTGATTCTGCCAAAATCAACGCTTGCTTGGCAGCTGGGGAGCCTCAGACCTACGGAAAAGACGACTGCAAGAACTCTAGCGCTGACTCCAACATAGCTTGTTGTTCGGTTTTATTCCCGAGCTCCAGCGGTTACTCCAAATACAAAGTCAAACATTCGCACGAGATGACCAGTTCTGTAAGAACTCCATGTGTGCGTAGATACGCACTGCAGCACGTAAGAACTCCAGCGGTGACCCCACCGCCACATGAAAACATCACGCGTGCTTGTTTGAGTGGCCGTGCCGAGTTGCCAAGATGTCCCTGGTCAGCAAGAAAAATCTGGATTTGGGAAATACGCGTTCTCTCATTCCCTATTTCCCTCTCTCAGTCCCCTTCTCTCCCCTTGCCCTTCCTGATCCGTCCCGCTTGATCCCGAAAAGCAACGCAGCGACGTCCCGCATGTATTTCCCAAATCCAGATTTTTTAACTTCCCGAGGCTCTCAGGCCTCGTAGGGACTCATGCGGCTCATGGGCTCCTCAGGTCTCGTAGAAACTTATGTGTCGCTGTGTTGGTTGGTTTATCCATTATTCCGTAGTAAACGCTTGTGCCTGCTCCCACAGGAAGACAATATTATCGTATATGCGCTATTGCTTACGGTTGCTATATACTCCTGCCGTATGTTATGCCTATTGTTGCTATGTGCTCCTACGTGGCTTCGTTTGACACTTAAGTATATTGATTTGCATACGTCCACATGTATGGTTGATGTGTTGTGTGCTGTTTCGTTGTTGTTGTTCATATTCGTTGTTGTTGTTTTCCTAGGAAGGCTGCACTCACAGAGGAACACCTCATACTCGCAACCGTAAGAAGTGTATACATAGCGAGTGTCTGAAGACTTGGCACATGAAAGCAGCCTGAAGCGACCCTGCGAATGACGAGGCTCAAGCAGAACTTCTCCCTCGGCTCCTGAACTCAAAATTTGGCACGTGAGAGCTTCTCCACGAACCAACTTAGCAATCGAGGGAATCTGCGACACCAATGGCGTCGGCCCACATGGCCTGCTCATACTCAAGGGGAGGCTGCGTGCCATAAATCTGATCATCCTCCACCTGCGTGTCCATAACAGCTGAGAGACGGGGACGCTCCATATCCACACCGTAGTCTTTAGCGAACAAGGCAGGGGCTGCTTCGTCTTGGTCACGGTGAGGCCCCATGGCAGCTGCTGTTGCACCCTCTTTAGCTTTGGCACCATCGTTATCCATGGAGAGGTCCGCAAGGCCATCTGCTGCACTACCAGGCGCATCTGCTGGACGAACGTGAGACTCTGGAACTGTAGGCGCTGCGGCAGGCCACTGCGTGGTCAATGCTGGGTCAGGCTTCCGCTGGACAGTTGACGACTGGCCTGGCTTCGGCTCGACCCCTGGCGGCTGGCCAGGCTCATCATCTGGTGACGACGACACCACTTCTGGGTGCCTCAACTGACCCATCTCGGTTAAGCTACTGCGCTGCAACTTCACGGGGGGCTTGATAGCCCCCTCGCCCTCGTCTTGGAGCCTCTTGAGGGAGGCTCGCTGCTCCTGGGACGGGTGTGGCGCCTTCGACCTGACTATAATTTTCAGCGGTATCTGGATGGTGAGTTCCGTCTGCCGTTGGAAACCGTGCGGCAATTCGTTCAAGTTTATCTTTAGCACGGGGTACTCGAAGCCAAGCAGAACCCCCCCAGCATCATGATCGGCCATGGTCGTTGAAGAAAAAATACCTCACTGAATGTCTGGGCAAGTGCTCTGGCAAACGAAACGCGTTGCTTGATGGGCGCAGGAGCTCGAGGAAAAAATGCGAAGCCGAAATCCCCTTGCACACAAGTTGCCTCGGGCCCGCTGTGTTATTGTGCGTGCGCGTGGTGTGCGTGTGATTCCATGGCCAAATACATGGGCTCACAAACTTTCACAAGTGGGATGCAGCGTATAGAACGGGAAACCGTCATAATATGTTCATGCTGTACACATTCGCAGTTAAAGTGTATATTCTTATTGGGGCCCTGGGGCCTTCGATGTCACGACGGCCCTCAATGGTTCCAAGACGGCCGCTGCTGACGCGCTCACGCGAGCCCCATAACAGGTCACGCAACCAAGCGCGTCCCAAGAGATCCCAAACACCCCAGACACCCAGAGAATATCATACACACTTTAATCCGCCGCCCCCCGCGTGGGAAGACCCTCCGCCTGCCTCCCCAGTCCAGGGGTGGATCCATGCCCTCCTTACTTTTGGAGGGCGCCAGGCTTCGCATGCCTTCTGCGCCCCAAACGCACGAGGGGGCAAAGGATTACCCAAGACGCCCCAGGAACCCCCAGACAGACCAGACGCCCATTGGCGCCCCAAGACAGACCTAGAACCCAAGGCTTAAAGGAGTAACAAAGCCGCCCCAGAGACATCCGACAACGAAAGACGCCCCCACCCCATCGGGACCCCAGACACTTTTAATGAGGATTACCAAAGGCACCCCAGACACACCAGACGCCCAAAGAGGCCCAGACACCCCCCATGCACATCAGACACCCCAGGAAGCCCCAAGAAGCCCCAGACACCCCAGACACACATAAAATCCCGCCGCCTCCTGCATGGGAGCGCCCGCCGCCCCCCCCTTCCCCCCCCCCATTCAGAGGGTGGGCCCGCGCCCTCCATATGTTGGAAGGCCCCGTCTGGGAAGGCTCAGACCGCCTGCGCCCTGTTAGGGGATGCAATGGGAATTGTTGTGCATCGCCCTGCTGGCAAGAGAGGGCCGCATTGACATGTCAACATCCTTGTCTACCAAAGGCGCTCTTGCAGCTGGCGTGAAACCTTCCCCTGGCGGAAGAAAAAAAGTGGCACCGTGCTGAACTGGCAGAGAACATTGATCTAGGATAAATGACATCTGTGGGCGCAGGGTCCCCGTGAGCTCCACCATATAAGAGCTTCGCAGTACAATTGCGCATGGCATGGTTTCGCTACTCCATGCTATAGCACTGCGCGTTGGCATGGCGTACCCCCCATAGCGTCATGGCATTGCATTATGGCATAGCATAACATTGCATTATGGCATGTTCAGGTGCGATCCCAAGAAAAGGGCCCGACCCACGAGGACCTTAGGAGCCCTGGGCCTCAAGCCCAGGCCCTAGAACGAAGACTGTAGTGGAAGAGAAACGGTTGCACGTTTTTTTGGGGACCCTTCTCCCCTCTGTCACATATGTCGGGGAGCCGCA